GACTTAGAGATAAGGAAAGGACAGTGGCATCCACGGGCTTAGAGATAAGGAAAGGACAGTGGCATCCACAGACTTAGAGATAAGGAAAGGACAGTGGCATCCACGGACTTAGAGATAAGGAAAGGACAGCGGCATCTTAGGGGTTATAGATAAGGAAAGGACAGTAACATCCACGGGCTTAGAGATAAGGAAAGGACAGTGGCATCCTAGGGGGTAGTGATAAGGAACGGAGGTGGCTGTTCGCTCGGGGGGGGGGGGAATTATTTTTTTTGGGGGGGCAGCATTTTCGGTCCACTTCATATACTTTTAAAAGATCGTTTTTTCTCTTTATGAATTATTTTTACATCGTAACTTTGTGAATTTTTTGGGAGAGAGAGAAGAGTGTGGGTGGGTGTAATTGGAGACTGAGATCTGCCAACTTGTTGATACCTATCGAACAATAAACGCTTTTAATTAAAAAGAGACCACTATCAATTTTATACATTATAAAGCATCTTTGTTTTATTAGAAAATATTAAATGACAAATCAATCATAACACATTTTGTATTGGTTTCTTTATTTTAAAAAAAAATATTTTAAATGTATTTTTTTATATTATTATAGCAAAATTCGGTAACCAGTTTGTGCAAATTGACAACCAGTTTCGCTTAACATCCTTAATTGTTACTACACTCTGACTACATTTCATTACAACTACACTGAGTGGCGTAGCTAGGGTTGGTGTCACCCGGTGCGGTAAACTCATGGTGGGTGCCCCCCCCCCCCCCTCACGATGGATCTTCAGCGTGTAAGATGAACTTCCTCAAGTAGATCAGCCCATGGGTAAAGGTAGCAGATCAACGTGAACTCACAGACAACATGTAAAAGGCATTTTGTGCTGTACGACAATCGTGCTCAAACGTTAAGGGGCGCTACTAGTGACGAACATGTTAATTTGTGAGTATTATTGGGTCTCGAAATATTTGGTTACAAAAAAACTGAAATAAAAAAAAATTATTGAATAAATAAAATTAATTATTAAAAGATATTAGAAAATTTGTAAACAAATTTGCATTTTGTTAACCATATAAATGGCTAAAAATTAATATTTTCAATGTGTAAAATTGTTACCGATTCGATTCATTTACTTAAAATCTCCCAACCATATCATATTTGGTATCAATGGAAAGCTCTGTTTTTCAGAATTTAGATAAATATAGCTTCCTGTATGCCTGCGAATCCTGGACATTAACAGATCTTGAAAGGAAAATAAAGGCCATGGAGATGAGATGCTTCAGATGCATTTTTGGCATCTGCTATAGGGACCATATCTCCAATGATACAACTAATGAAAGAAAGGGTTCACCAGGCAATTTAGGGAGTACGATGACCTACTGGTGACTGAAAAAATGAAAAAATGCAAACTACAATGGTACGGCCACGTAACAAGGAAACAAGGGCTTGCCAAAGAAATATTGCAGGGCACCACAAGAGGAGGGAGAAGAAGAAGAAGAAGAAGAAGAGAAAGACAAATAAAAAGATGGGAGGATAACATCAAAGAGTGGACAGGATTAACACTGGGCGATGCTGTGCGTACCGCAGAAGACAGAGGTGAATGGAGGAGGATAGTTCACGTGTCATCTGTGGCGCCCCAACGGTCCTGTTGAGCTTCCTGTTACGTATGAAAGTTACCGAACACTTCAATCGGCGTTGAATAATAGTAAAAACTTTGTTTTTCTGATCTAATTATAGGGTAACCTAATTTCTGACACATCACCCTTGAACTTTAAATAAAACAAGCATTTGGATTGGTTACATAATTTGTGGAAAATTGACGCGTGATCGGTTATCCTTTTATGAAATTCGGTTAGACGAGCAGTATGTGCTATGTTAATATGCAATTTTTAAGTTGTCGTTACCCCCTGGTATGGTGTCAACCGGTGCGGTCCCCACACCCTAGCTACGCCACTGACTACACTACAAAATATGCATTCAAGTAACGCATTTTATAAGAATCCTAATTAGTGCTACCCCCTCCCCTATTTTCCCAGGCACACTTTTTCCCACTCCACTGAAATACGCTTTATTAGTATTTTAATTTCCGCCCGCTTTCTCACCGCAGATTTATAACGCCATATTTAAATTTACTTGTTTCCGTAAAATTAAAGAAAGTATTAAGCACAATATGCGCATGTTGTATTTTAAAGAATTTCATTTAGCTTAGTTATCGGAATGTCGGGATATTTTTCCTTCCTTGTTTTTACAATTATTATTATGAACGAAATAATACTTAGACAATTCTAAACAAAATATTATCTGAAACCCCCCGCTCCCCACAAAAAAAATGAATGCAAAATTTTTATACAAATAAAAATATTTCTATATCTAAGAATTTTTATGTAATTGTCTATTAACATGTTTGAAATGTTATTGCTTTTAGTGGTTAAAGTGAACTTAATGTTTCCCAACGCGCGTGGGACTGTTTTCAACATAAGGGCCTCGTTGGCGACTAAGTTCTTTTATTGCGCATGCCCAGTGACATTAAATTGGGACTTTGCCGTATAACCCTGTCCGCCATTTCACTGGCTAGGATTCAAACTCGCTGTTTTATTTAAAATGTCTTCTGTAGAAGAGGATCAATCGTCTCAACCTTCCACAGTAAGTACAAATTTATTATTTATCATTTCTGTCTAAGCTATCTTATGACTCCCTCATCGCGTGATACAATTTTACTCGGGCTAGAATGAAGACTGAAAAATAGCGTTTTGCGGCTAAGTCCCAAGATGGCTGAAATTTTTCTAAGTTCGAATTTCTGAATACTCAGATGTTTACAGGATATTGAGAGTTTGTGGGCACGCTTTGACCGCTCTTGTCAATCTATTATGTCTGAGTAAACTGAATGGAGACAGTAAAAACTTTTAAAACTACCCAAGTCCTCCGATCCTTATTTAAAATGAAATCTTTTGAATTTTAATTTCTTTTTACCTTCAAATTTGTCTTTGTTTCACTCACAGGGAAATGGAGACGGCATGATGAATAAGTCGGGTAAGTCATGAAGGCCTAGGCCTAGCCGTATATATATCTTTAAGACTTTTTTTTCTTTATCTAAGTCTAAGTTTCAAAGACACTTTAAGTAAAGGGTTTCATTGATTAGAATATTAATTAATTAATTACGTAATAACATTTTGTGAGTATGTTAGCATGCTAATTTTTTAAACTTTTTGGTGCAAATTATTTTGAAAACCCAAATAATTTTTTAAAAAAATGATTACAGTTACAGCAAAAGGTTGATTGGTAGGGCTTCAAGATTTTGTTCTAGTTATATGCCTATTTATTACTATAGCAGTATAATATAATAATATAGGTCCAAAATTACAATAATAATGTAATTATAAATCAATAAATGTTAAAAAATATAATATATATATTAATATTATATAATTGTAGGTACTTCCAACTCAAATTTTCTAATACATCTGACAATGACGAAGTTAATCTTTATATCATTTACGTTCGTGTTCAATGGGTAGTTACTATAAATGCTTGGGGAACATGCATATAAAATTACTGATTTTTTTCTGTCAGGTTTTATTTTAAATACTTTTATTTAGCATTTCTTAATGACTTAATGCTTTTTATTTAGGTTGGCTTCTTGTTTGCCTGGGTCAAACTTAAAATCAATTTAGATCCACTCTTTTTTGTTTTTTTAAATTTTAAGGCATGTTTATTTTCAACATCAATACCGTCATTTTATCAACCCTGCAGCCAGCTTGCATGTGAGGTCAACTGGCTAAGGACTTAACTGTATTGTACATAAAATACCACTAAAATTCTGTTATTCAAATTTTTAGAATTGATTTCTTTGAACTAAAAAAATACAATAAAAAGCTTTATGGTTACACAGTTTAATAAAATTCAGAAACAAGTTAAAACAAATTTTTGTTATAGGACGAAGATGATATTATTATAGTAAAAATCAATTTCATTTCTAAAGAGGTTAATAAATTTAATACTAATTTCGGTCTGTCTAATAATACTAGTGCAGTATAGACAAAACTAAATATAATTTATAATTGAGGACTATGAGGAGCCAGGTCCTTATGTGTGAGGAGAAGAGTCAGCATTAGATTGTTATGTGAAGGGTCAGCATAGTTAATTTTTTTCTATAAAATAATTTTAGGACTAAATTTGAAATCTCTGACATCAGGTACAAATATTTAGGCACTTAGGACTTTTGGTGACTTTTATGTATTAACTTTTTCTGTTGCATACTACATATTATATTTACAAATTATAGGGTAGGGTGACCAAACGTCCAGCAAAAACGGGATTGTCCCTTTTTTCACGATCCTACACGGTGTCCTGAAAAAGCCTCTTGGGGCGCCTAAATATCCAATTTCTAAAACCAAACACATTTTCACATATTAGATAAGAAATAGGTTTTATTAACGGCTGGGACAACAGCCAAATATCCTCAGTTTAAATCCTAGCTAAGCCTAGACTAGAGAAATTTATTGTTGTGTTGTATAATGTTGTAAAATATGGATAAATAAATAAGTATTCACTGCAAAATTGTTTTAATTTAGGATATGTTTAAATTAAATTACATTTACAAAAGTGAAGCCAAATTTAAAAAGATTGCTAGGTCTCAAAATAGTTAAAATGAGCACATTTCAATAAACATTTTTCGGCGGAGGCCCCCAGACCCCTCTTTAGCTGGAGGGTATCCCCCTCCCCAAACCCTCCTTGGATGTGTCCCGTTTTTTCCAGTTCATGATCTGGTCACCCTAACATAGGGATAAAATAAAATGTCTATTACCATCCTTCATTTTTTTTACCCAGTACAAAAATAGTTTTTCTTTATTTAAATTTTTGACAGGTGGATATGTTTAGATAAGCCAATACTCATTCTAGAGTTTGGGGTTTAAAGTTAACTTTTGAAAGAAACGATGGGATTGCTATGAAAATTTAAGGTAGTTTTTTGTTGTAAGAGATGACCTAGAGAGTAACATTTTTAAGGCTTTAGCACTTTTTCTGAGGAAAGAAGTATTAGATCCACAATTGTATTTAGAATGTGAACATGATTAATTACGAGAAAATGTCAAGCATGCTAATCCTGCATGTCATGATAGTTTTCATCAAAAAACAAAGACACATGAATGATTATTAATCATATCATTAATCTTAGCCTAGTTTGGGGGAGTGGGGGCTAGCATAAGCTGTAGCAAATACATTTACACTGTCGTCATTATTTAAATTTTTTGCATGATATTTGGAAACCCTAGTTAATTTTTTTTTCAATTAAATTGCATATTTAAAGTTGCTTAAAAGTTTTGGTTTTTTTTTAACGAAAGAAACCAATGCCGAAATTCATTAAATCTTTCTTTTAGCATATGCAATTTGTTTGCAACATTAGAAGAAAAGTTGATGAACTTTTACCCATATTTTATTTGTTGATGTAATGCAAAAAATGTAAAATTAAAAGAATCCATTATTTTTGTCATTGATATGATTTGATTGTAACAAGAACTTAGCATTAAAAAATTGATATAGCTAGTTTTAAATATCAAAACGGTTAACAATTAAACATTTTTGGCCAATAGGGGATTGAATGTCTTTTATAAGCTGCCATTTAAAAATGTCATATAAATTAAGTTTAAATACACCCATACATAAAACAATACAGATAAAAATTTTGTTAATGTGATAATTGAAACACATCTAGAGTTTTAAAAAGTAAGTCATTCAAGCCACATGTTGACCACCACATCCCTTTATGATTAGGGTCTATAAGTGTAGTTCTCCTCTTCCTGTTAGAATAATGTTCTTGTTTGCTCATAGCATAATTCTTCCAGCTGGTTTAAATATTTATAAATTAGATTTTTCTGTGAAAATCTACATTTGATCTTACTTGGTATTCACAGCAACCTGATTTTTGTTGAACTTAAAGCTTAATTTGCTCACATTCCATATCCCCTAATGTTTCATTCAAGTTTTAAGTTAGTAAATAACTTGTCCTAATGCCATCAAAATCCAAATTCATACTACACAATGTGAAACCATTTACTATTAAGGCAATAAGAATGAACTCAAGGCTTACCCATCTCTTTGTCACAAAGTATTGATCTACTATTGAAAATCATTACCACCCAGCTGAAGAAGAAAGATAGAAACAAAGAAAGTTTGGAGATGGTTAAGTCAATGTGAGCTTTATTCTCGCTTACCATATTTATTTCATGTTAGTGAGAGGACACATTCTCCTAAATTTGTTCTGTCAGTCATGTCCTTGTTAGATTTTTGTTCACAGCATGACACACTAAGCATAATATTTTATATGTTTACAGTGGAAGAAATGAGTGGTAAAATGAATGGATTGGGTGAAGACTCGGCTGGTTCTGCTTCCGAAGGCAGTGGTGAACCTAAAGTCAATGGTTTAAGTAATCATAAGCCAAAGGGTTCTTCTTCGTCTACCCACAAACACTCTTCAGAGCAGAGCGGCAGCTCTGATAAAAAAGATAAGCATCATAGCTCATCAAGCTCATCCAGACATAGGGACGGAAGCTCTACCAAACACCACGAAGGGAGCTCTAGCAGTAAGCACAAAGATGGATTGAGCTCTTCATCATCAAAGCATAGAGATGGTCATAGTTCATCCTCCTCGTCAAAGCACAGAGATGGAAGCAGTTCCAAGCATAGTTCATCCAGCTCATCAAAGCACAAAGAAGGAAGCAGCTCATCATCTTCCCATAAAGACAAAGAAAAAAGCAGCAGTTCTAGTCGACCTAAAGATAGCAGCAGCAAAGTAAAGGAAAGCTCTTCTTCACATAGCAGCTCAAAAGGTAAAGAAAGTAGTAGCAGCAAACCTAAGGAAGGAAGTAGCTCGAATAAGGAAAAAACAAGTTCATCATCATCTGACAAACCTAGGGACAAGAGTAAAGAGTCCAGTAGTAGGGACAAGGATAAGCACAAATCTTCCTCTTCATCATCCAAACACAGAGAGCAGGAGAAGACAAAATCTTCTTTACCTAAAAGTGGAGATGGAAAAGATAAGCATTCTCACTCATCATCCAAACCCAAGGAAGAGGTGAAGCCGAAAAAAGAAGAGGCATCAGAAAAGGTGAAGGATGAAGACGTTGAGAAACATATTAAGAAGGAGCCAATAGAGCTAAAGCCATTAGAAACTAATGGTAATAGCTCCCACACAACACCATCCCCAGTCAAGGTTAAAAAAGAGGCAGAATCACCCGTGAAAACAGAAAAGGCAGCATTGGCGGTTAATAACAATGCAGTGAAATCTGAGGATGATGAAAGTGATGACGAAGATGACAAGCCTTTGGTAAGTCACTGAACCAGTATTCCCAATATCCGTGCTGTGAAATAGGTAATAACAACCTTGAATATTAAAAAAATTGTTAATATTGTGTAGTTTCAAGCCAAAATTATTTAGTTGTTCATGCCCTTTCTTGGTATAGTTTAGGTAAATGAAGTTTGTGATTTGTTGTTCCTTAGTTTAAACAAAACTAGAAATCTCTTTTCAATACACATAATGTTTAATTTACCTGAAGTATTATTTAAAATGTAATTGGTATAACATGGATATTAGTGCCTATTAGGTAGTATATTTATGTTTTATTTTCAGTCTGCACGCAAGCAAAAGACGCAGTCATTAAAAAGACCTAAAGAAGAATCAGATTACGAGAATGAGGCTCAAAATGAAGAGGAGGATGAGGATAGTGATGTACCTTTGTCGGCACGGTATAAAGTTATTACATTAATGAAAATGACTTGCTTGAAATGTATCTTAGGATGAATAACCTTGATAAAATTTATTTGTACATGCCCTCATAGAGAAACTGGCAATTTTGCAGACCATTGCATAATGCCCTTAAAAGTATATTTAAATTCAACGAAAACCAATAATGAGTCTCCCGTCTCAAGACATTTCTAGGGATACCATATGGGAGTAACCCGTCTGATTTATTTTTTTTTAAAAATAAATTTACACCTGTACTTTTTTCTCTTTCTGTACATGAGAAGTTTAAGGCAAACATCATTTTCCGATCAGAAATGGCAGATTATTTTGATGCAAATTTAATGCGGCTGGGATTTCTTGTAACAGTTTCATATTTATTTATTTAGTGCCAACAAAGCCAAAAAGCTCAAATTAGACAAGAAGCCATTAGCAGCAGCAAAGAAGTCTAAGCAAGCCAGCACTCCAGTAAAGAAAGTAATTATAATGTTAAATTCCTTTCACAATAATAAAGAAACTTGTGCTTAAATTTTTTTGTATTTTTAAAATAGAAATGGCCAGCAATAAAATAAAAAAAAGATCAATAATAAATTAACGAAATGATTGTAAATAAAGTTGAATATTAATGCATATAAAGCAAACATTTTAATATATATTTTTTCATCCTCTCCTATTTTTATGTTTTACTAGACTAAAAAAAGTAAGGTAAAAGAAGAAGTGAAACTAGAAGACCAAGATGAACCAGTAGCTAAAAAGAAAAAGAAAGGGACCGAAGAACAACAGGAGGTTTGGAAATGGTACGTTTATCTTAACTCTAGGTTAATAATTGATACTATATTATACTCATATATATTTTGGATTCATTCTATTTGGGAATCCTTGTTGAGGACAAATCTCAAGACAACAAACAACTCAACAAAGTAAACACTTGACTTGGCAACATTTGAGGCACAACATGATTTTATGGGTTGGTCATGAATGATTTTTGATGAGCCATATGCAACAATAAAATTTCATAATGCAGCTTGCTCACTGTGATTTTATGCCATGGAGCATAAAATATTTCTCAAGCGTTGGAGTTTAGTGCCTTAACTTTGAAGAATAATTGGGAAATGTCTCATAATCAACAAGAATGAAAATCTAGAGATAGTGGAGCTATTTGCAACAAAAGTCTATCAGAAAATATCTGGACAATGAGGAGGTTACATGGGACTCACAACAACCTACAGTTGAGTTTATTCTGTTGAAGTCGATCAAGAGAGCTGGGGAAAATTTGAATTTAACAAATTTTGTTACGCAACAAAAATTGTTTTACATCTATTATGAAACCAGTATTCATTGGCAGATCGTTGTTTATGTTTCCAGTAATGGGAAAGCCACTTAATTAAATCATAATGCTCTGATCCGGCAGAGTCCCACTCTAGCAAAAGCCACTGTAGTTTGTGCTTAGTTATATATGGTAATAAGTTAGATTTTAAAAGTTATTTGAATCACATTTAAATTAAAAACATGGGTAAAGACAATTTTGTTTTTATTTCAATATTCTATGAAAATAAAAAGTAATTTCTTTTTCTCTTAAATAGGTGGGAAGAAAAGCGTGAGGATACTGGTGTTAAATGGTCATTCCTAGAACACAAGGGACCTTTATTTGCACCTGCTTATGAACCACTCCCCAAGAATGTTAGATTCTATTATGATGGTATGTACAGACCTGTTTACTCTTACGATTTTTTTTTTTTTTACGATTTTGGCGTACAATGTACGATTTTTAGATGTCTTTTACGATTGTACGCCGAGACCCGCCAAAACTACGATTTTCAGAGACCCACCCGGTGAACAAATATTTGTGTCATTTTGTCCGATTTAAACAAAAATTAAAAATTTTCGGTTGTGGAAGCTTTAGCCCTTATGGCCCCGCATTGAATGGACCCAGAAAACAACGATGGGTTTTTGTATATTTTTTTATAGTTGGACCATCCTTCATTATATTTATGTACGCACTGAAAGGGGAGGTGGCGGTTGTTGATTAAAGAGATTGGTGGCATACCAGAAACACGGGTTGGGGGGGGGGGGAAGGTGGGAGTTTCAAAAGATATAAAAATATCACCGCAACGCATCCTATTGATGGTGGTGATGGTCTTAGTGTTGCTTTGCGTGTCACAGTGAACCAGCTAGCTGTGTCAGCAGCAATCTTTAGGCTAGTCGCCTGGCAACAACTTCACTCACCACCTCATTGGACTGCTACTGCTAGCAAGCGTGTGTTCGTCTGAACCGCGGGGATTGTGAAGAGAGAAAACTAGAGGTGTGAGATTTAGTCAGTGGCATTAAAAAAAATATTTTAGATCTCGCAAAGCAGCTCTATCCAGAGGCGTAGCGAGCGGGGGCAGGAGGGGACAGATTCCCCGGGCGCCAGCTAGTTAGGGGGCATGTTTCTTTCAGAAATTTTCCCCAGGGGGGAGCACTTCAGATTTTCGGGGAAGGGTTACTTCAGATTTTTCGGGGGTTGGGGGGGGGGCAGTGCCAGCAGTTCCAGTTGATTTATTGTTGGACATATTTTTGCTCCTGGGGGCACTTGGCTTTCCCCGGGGGAGGGGCACTGCCCCCCCCCCCAGAGATATAGCTGAAAGAAACCCTGTTTAGGGGCGCCAAAATGTGCTTTGATATTATTTTATTGATGAAAATAATGGGCTTGAGAGTTGAAAAAAAGAAAAAGGGGCACTTTAAAATGGATCTTGTCCCCGGGCGCCAAACACCCTCGCTACGCCTCTGACTCTATCCCCCTCAATCCCCCTCAACGATTTTAATACAATTAAACAGTTTTGTATCACTACTGCTACTACTGCGCCCCCCCCCCCCATTTTTGTTTACAGCTTGTGGTAGTTACTAGTCTCTGATACTATAGCAGTGGTCGGCAAGCCGTGGCTCGGCCAGTCAACTACAAAGCGGTTTTTACTCCGAAAAACATGGTCCTTGACAGGTTCTTGAAAATAAATTTGGCTCGCAAAATTTGTTTAATGGTCCTGCTGCTGATTTGGGCTCTTTTGACCAATGAGTATGCTGACCACTGCTCTTTAGTATGTGAACGTAAAAACTCAGGGGCATATTGGATAGGCGAGGGCACTATGTTTTTCCTATTAATGAGGGTGGGGGAAGGTGGGTTCGTCACCAGCACGGAAATACGTGTTAGTGGACTAGTGTGTTGTCACTATGTCGTGTTAAATATGACTACTACAGCGACCTCTTTATGAAAACACAAAGCATTAGTATACGGTATACGATAAATGCGAAGCATTGTGGTATTTGTATAGCCTTAATAATAATAATAATAGACCTAATTAGAATTCGTGGATTTCAGATTTTCATGTGACAGTTGGCTCTATAAGAGACTGTCAGGAATCAGGATAATTATTGTAGAATTTATGCCTACATGTAGGTGCATTCTGGTGCCCCCCCCCCCCAACCCAATCAAAACTCATACGCATCCTCAGCGAGTAAGTCATATTTGGATGGCCCTTTAAGTTGGCAAGGCGTGCAGCTGGGGGCGAGCTAGGAATCATTGTTAACTTTTTCATTTTTATTTGAAATGTTATATATGGGCTGTCCAAACAGCTCTGGCGCTAGAATTTGGCTGCATTGACCTATGTGCACATTGCGTGATTTTAATGTTACCATTATCATTAATGGAATCGGCAATCATTCTTGTTTTCGGTTCCGTAGTTGACCTCACTTAGTATTTTACGATATGACCTCGACAAAAAGAAAGGCTCGCGGAATGGGCGATGAAGAAGAAACTTCTCTTTCTACCGATAAACATCCGATTCAACTACAGAAAAAGAAAGTTTATCAGCAGATAGTCTTGCTTGAATATCAGACTAAATTGACTGGGTTGCGTTCTTCGTCGAATGGTCCATCATGCGCGCACTGCACAATTACACAATCTGCAAGTCGGACTTTTCATGAACAATCTATCAGGGACAAAAGGAGTGGTGTTGATTTAGGAAATTTTGGGTTTGGCGTGGGTCTAAATACTTAAATCTATACAATCAACACCGCGACATTTCCGTAATGACAGGTTGGGGGGGGGGGCTGTTCCTCGGCAGAAAGAACGTACGTTATTTAAAAAATCTACAATATTCATCTCCTAACTCTGAAAGTCCAAAAATAGCATTCTATTTATATCTCGAATGCTGTAAAATACCACCCGATGTTTTGTAGGAATTATTGCGGTGATGTTGTCAAGATGTATTTTCACCAATAAACTCGTTAGCAGTAGTAGAGAAGTTACAGTTGTGTTTAGTCATGAGTGTTCAGCGCGCGTGTGACGCATATTTCGTTGGGCTACGCCAGTGGTTCTTATAATTTTGTTTCCCGGCGCATATGTCATATTAGGTTTTCGCCAGGGTTTCCTGGATGAAATTCTTACAAGTACACTTCGAAATAGGGAATACACAAATAAAATAAAGGGTGGGATAAAAATAAATATATCGTTTATGGAGGTAACAAACATGGAGGTATCTATAGCAGATGCAGGTCTTCAAAATGAAGTGACCGCAGTTTGCAGTTAACGTCAGTCGAATACTGATTACCTTACAGTTCCATTTTTTAACAAACCGCTGAACTGGATGCCACTGAACACGCTATACCAGTAGATGCTGTATACATTATATATTATATATACTGTATATTTATGTATTTACTATTAAGATACTGTATTGTACGATTTTGAGACGATATTGTACGATTTTAGGAGTTTGAGGGTAAACAGGTCTGTATGTAGCAATTCACCTGTGCTCATTTTTGTGGATCTAAATTTTTTTTTACTTTTCAACACAAATTAGCACACAAATTGCATGCAGCTAGTTATCTTGTACCTCAAGAACATCATAGATATATTAACTGGTTAGCCGTCTGGTACCATGGTACGGGTGGCCGAATGGTCTAAACTGAGCAAAGTTGGTGGTCTGGAGTTCAGCTCCAGCCAAAGGCCAGTCATGCAAAAACATCACTAGCACCCTGAGTGGATGGGACTTGTTAACCTTGGTCTGCGGATCATCTAAGAGAAGGAAACTCTGAATTCAAACCCGGAGATGGAGTCCCGTAAGGCGTATACAATGAAACAATCCGACAACTCCTGCATCCGTACCCATCCCTGGTCGTCTTGACTTAGTTTTGCCATTGGACAAGGTGGACCTGGACAAGAGAGTGAGGTTGACACCGCGCAACTCTTCCTCACATTAAACAAAAGTCACCCGCGCAAGTCATCAGTCATCCAACACCGGACGACTCGATGGTCCTAGTCGACTTTCGGCGGACGAACAACAAAACACCATGGCTTCTACCAGTACAACCTTGTTCAGTCTAACTGTTGGGATACACACAAAAAACTTAACACTTTAGTCCTGCCAGTTTCTTTAGGAGAAATCTGACTGGAAAGATGCAAGCATATCTACCTTTGTTTCGGGGATTATGGCAGGAAATTAATGAAAGCTAGTAATGTCTTGTGGGTCTTCATAATGTAAATAAACAACTTCAATTACTAATTTTTTTGTACAATTTGTTTGCTGTCCACATAATAATGTAGAAATGAGCTTGAAGCAGTTATCAGTAAAAAAAAAAATATTTAGAATCGCTTGTGTGGCTGTATGCATCTTTTTATGATATATATAGTTTGAGACCTAAAAGATTAATATGATGCTTTATTTTTATTTTACTTCTCTAGCTGCACATGCCTGTAAAATAATATTGAAAAAAAAATGTTCACAGGAAAACCCATGCAACTGACACAGGATACTGAGGAGGTTGCAACCTTTTATGGTCGTATGCTTGATCATGATTACACCACACGAGATGTTTTTAACAAGAACTTTATGAAAGACTGGCGAAAGGTATGGGTTGTTGAGAAACAAAATCCATTCATAGATATCATGAGTGGTCCATGTTCTAAAATTTTCAGTTTTTTTTTTTTTAAATAAGTTCTACAATATATTCTCTAATGATTTCCCTATATTGAACTTTTGAATTTCGGTGTGATGCTAATTATTTTTCTCAGTGTTGTATAAAATTATTTTGCTCTTAGGTGATGACTGCTCAAGAACAAGCCATAATCACTGACATTAAGAAATGTAACTTTCATGAAATTTTAGATTACTACAAGAAGAAATCAGAAGAAAGAAAAAATCTTTCTAAGGAAGAAAAGCAGGTATGTTATTAAAATCACTAAATTTGGCTGTAATGTACACTCTTAGCTTTCCATTTAAAATATCCCTATCATTTTTCTTTTAATATATTATATGTAAAAATTGGTTTCCATGACCTGTTGAGCTTGTTTTGCATTTTTAGTTCCAGTGTTGTTTAAGTTAGAGCTTTGATTCAGTCACATTTCTTTGTTCACTAATAAGTCTGTGGGACTTCTCTTTCTTAGAAAATAAAAAAGGAAAATGAAGAAATTACAAAGCAGTATGGCTTTTGTATAATCGACCACCATAAGGAGAAAATAGGAAACTTCAGAATTGAACCTCCTGGCCTATTCCGTGGCCGAGGCGATCATCCTAAACAGGGCATGTTAAAGAAACGTGTTAATCCAGAAGATGTTATCATTAACTGCAGCAAGTACGTAATAATATATTATTACCTTTTTCAGACAAGTTAATATTTTATACATGTCATAATGTTTATTTTAAATCATGTGTTCATTTATACATAAAATTTTGTTTTCATTTCTTTAGGGACTCAAAAATCCCTGTTCCACCCGCTGGTCGCAAATGGAGAGAAGTACGACATGATAACACAGTGACATGGTTGGCAAGTTGGACTGAGAATATTCAAGGTGCCATTAAGTATGTCATGTTAAACGCTGCATCAAAATTAAAGGTAAGTTTACTTAAAACTTGTTCCAAAGTATTTCAGTTAATCAAAGGTTATATCATATCTATTAATATATAGAAGAGTTAATATTTTTGTAATTAGCATACATGCTTAGGCCCCCAAATGTCTGGTCATGCGGCTAATTTTAAAAAGTAATAAACTTGTAATTAAAAATGGTTGGGGATTGGTATAGGGGAAAAACATTTTCATGCACATTGATTTTGAAATTATTTGTCACAGGGAGAGAAAGATTGGCAAAAATATGAGACGGCGCGTAATCTTCATAAATGTGTAGATAAAATTCGTGCCAATTACCAAGAGGATTGGAAGTCTAAAGAAATGCGAGTGCGGCAGCGTGCTGTGGCATTATACTTTATTGATAAGGTAATCTTGTATTCATTTATTCTCCTGGAACACACAAGCTATAAGTTTCTTGTCCTTATCAAGCTCCTAGTTTGAGCCTGACAAAAATCTAGTTGATTTCATAAGTTGAAAGGAAATAATTTGAAGGATCATTAAAATGTCATATTAATAGAAAAATCAGCGTCTCTTTTTTAAAATCTATTGATAAATGTGTTTATTTTCAGCTGGCATTAAGAGCAGGTAATGAAAAAGAAGAAGGTGAAACAGCAGACACTGTCGGCTGCTGCTCACTGCGAGTGGAGCATATAAAACTGCATAATGAGAAAGACGGTAAACAGCATGTTGTGGAGTTTGACTTCTTGGGTAAAGATTCCATCCGCTATCAAAATGCCATTCCAGTGGAGAAGCGAGTCTTCAAGAACCTCCAGTTGTTTATGGAGAACAAACAGCCAGAGGATGATTTATTTGACAGATTGAATGTGAGATTTTGACCTTTGTTTATCTTTAGCAGGAGTTGTAAAATGATTTCTTTGACTTGAAATATGTGTTTAATTTGGAGTGACATCTCAACCGTGTTTCATTATTTACTGCATTTATAGTTGATAATTTCTAACATGTAGTTTTCAGTGTCAATGTTTTTCAAATTCCAGACCACCATTCTCAACAAGCACCTTCAAGATTTAATGGAGGGACTCACTGCTAAAGTTTTCCGTACCTTTAATGCTTCAAAGACTCTGTCTGAACAGCTTGAGTTATTAACAAATCGTAAGTGCTCATTGAAATTGTTGGACATAGTGCACTTTTTGTTGAGATGATGTAAGCCTTACAAAGTCTACTTTGTTTTTCAACCTCCTTTATATTTAAGTAAATCTCTCTGATTCCGATTTCCCTTAAACTTGTTGTTGATTTCTTGGCTCTGCATCACAATTGTACCCCAGATAGAATATTCTTCATTCTTCAACCAGACATGACAATGGAATCACAGACCGGTTTATTCTTAAAATTTTGGCATACAAAGTAAGATTTTGAGGTGTCTTTTACGATTGTATGCCAAGACCTTTCAGAACTACGATTTAAGAGACCGGGTTGAAAATATATACATTCTGGTAGTTTTTTCCGAATTTAAACAAAGATATTATTAGAAATTACATTTTCGGTTCTTAGTTTTAACTTGTATTTGGATTTTACGTCCAGCGGTGAATGGATCGGTTGGGGACCATCTATAATTATATTACGCTTTCCCTGAGAGGGTAATAGAGTGGTGTTGATTTAGATTTGTGTACAGGTGGTGGGGGGTCTAAATATTTAAGTCTATAAAATTAACAGTCACATTTTCGTTATGATAGTGGTGATCGCCATTATTGCTTTGTGTTTTCATAATGAACTTGCTGGACACCGCTACAGTAATATTAGCATTGTCCCCCCATTACAATTTTAGTCAGTCTGCGGCCATCTATATGGAACGTACACAGGGGGGGGATTGATAATTTTTTCAGATTTAGCGTACATGTTTGTAAAGGGGGGGGGGGGGGGTCGGCAGAAAGTGTGTACAGTATTAAAAAATTCTACACTATTCACCCTGAAAATTCCAACATTGTCTTATTTATATCTTGAATGGTGTAAAAATATCATGCCAAGTTTTGTAGCAATTATCTTTATAATGGTGCCATGTATTTTCACAAATGAACTCGCTAGATATGCTTGGATAGTACTCAGTAGTAGAAGTATTACAGTAATATGTAGTCCACCATATGTCCATCGCGCACGTGACGTATATTTTGTTGGGCTACCCAGTCGTCGGCAAGTGCTCAGCTTGTTGTAATTATCAGACTGTAATATTTTAACAGAAAATAGCATAAATGAAAACTGAGTTAATATCTATAACAGATACATGTTTGCAAAACAAAGTGTCCGCAGATAGCAACAAACATCAGTCATTTACCTTTAGAAGTTAACTTTTTTTATGTGGGCTTAACTCGAACCCACTCGATGCTTTATGCAAGCAGTTATACATTATATATACTGTGTTTATTTAGTTACCATTAAGATTTTGTAATGTACGATTTTCAGACGATAGTGTAAGAGTTTTGGAGTTCAAGGGTAAACAGGTCTGGAAACATGCATGATGTCACTTTGTAAGATAGCAAGTTAGTTTCTGGCATCAGCATTTACTCCCTGATTAGTTAAAATAAATTAACTGTTGGATACATTTTTTGTTTCCAGCCAACGACTCTCCAGCAGCCAAGATGCTTGCATACAACAGAGCTAACAGAGCTGTGGCTATCTTGTGTAACCATCAGCGCGCTGTCCCAAAAACCTTTGAAAAGTCAATGGAGAATCTTATGAATAAGGTTAACTTATATTCTTTTTATTTTCTTTGCTGATTTTAAATTGGCTGTGAGATGGATATCAATATTCTTTTCAATGCAAGATCCTTAACATAATTTTTTAACTAATGGTAACAAAAATCAATTTAATCTACAAATGGGTAAGAAATAATTTATTTGTACAAAATTGGGGAGGTGGGGCTTGATGTTTATTAAAGTCACCAATAATTTAAAAAAAACATAACTTATTGTAATATCAATTGCTTTAATTTCAAACCAGCTTATTGAAAGGCTTTGTATAAAGTAGCCAAAGTTGACCTCCAAATTTAGTTTAAAAAGTAGTGATCTGGTCGTGTCCTTAAATTTTTAATTAAAATTTTATTGTGGATTGTTTTGTCACTATGTTAGATTGATTCCAAGAAAGCTGAAATAAAACAAGTCAAGAAAGAGATCAAGGGTATTAAAGCAGATTACAAGAGAGAAAAGTCTGTTAAAACAAAAACGTAGGTTATTTTTCTCTTTCACATTTTTATTTTTGTCCAAAGTAAAAGATAGTTGACTTCAATCAGCTTACCCTAAAATGTAAAGGGCAGTTGTCTTCAGTTAGGTTAACCTAAAATGTAAAAGATATTTGAAGACCTGTTTACTTTTACAAATTTGGCATACAGTGTACGTTTTTGAGATGTCTTTTACGACTACACCAAGACCTGTCAGAACTACGATTTTAAGAGACTTGATTAATGTACTTACATTTAGCTTTTGGTTTTGCTTATTGATGTCTCTATCTTATATTGGCTGTCTTATTTTGTTTAAAAAAAAAAAATTGTATATGAATTTCAAAAATGTATTAGAATTTGCACCAGATTGATTGCAGTGCATTTTTAAAAGAATTGTGCCTCTGCTAAAATTTCAATAAAAGTGTTCTTTTTTTAAGCTTATATGAAAAGAAGAAAAAGACTTTATCTAAACTTGAGGAACAGTTGGGCAGATTGGAGGTTCAAGCAACAGACAAGGTGACTTATTATAAACCCTATATATTTTCGTATGCTAATTGTGTTATATGGATCCACTAATTTTTATCTTTAATAAAATATAAAGTTTTTTGTGCTAATATACCAAGAGGTTTTTTTACTGAAAGAATCTATTTTAATTTTAAACAGAACAAAAAGACAAGGAAGTGCTAATTATATGAACACATACCTAATATTAAAATATGTATTTTAAGCCTTGCCCACATACAGTCTAAATAGAAACCACCTTTCAGAAAATCGACATTGTAGGCAATAATTTATAGAATATTATCTCTATATTTTAAAAAGACATATTTTAACATATATTTTTACCCAATTGTTCTGAATTGAATATAATACTATATTTCAAACTCTAGGATGAGAATAAAGAAATTGCTTTAGGCACGTCCAAGCTCAACTATTTGGATCCAAGAATCTCGGTAGCATGGTAAGTCATTGTTCATAAATGGATTTATGAATAGTACATTTAGCTATATAGAAGTTATTTAACTCATTCCCCACGGTTTTGCCTAAATGCATCCTTTGGGGGTTTTGACTGAAGTGCCCAATTTGGGTCGTTTATTCTTTATAAGGATTATTACATTTGTTGGCATTCAATTTCTACCCTGAAAGCACTTTAAATTTATTTAATCAGGTGCAAAAAGTATGGAATTCCCTTGGAGAAAGTCTACAACAAAACACAAAGGGATAAATTCAGATGGGCCATTGACATGGCCACCGAGCACTTCAAGTTTTGATGATATTTCAAGTTTTAGACAGCCCAAATGAATTAGCAAGAAACAGCGTCGCTTTTGATGTACAGTATGAAAACTGGAAATTAATTTACAATTTTACAGTGTGTCAAACAGTTAAAAAGAAGATTAAATTCAGAAATGGTTTTCTATATTTGTATTGATGAAAATATGTAGGAGCAGTTAAAGTATTGTTATATTGTTATGACTTGTGTAATGTTCGGTAAACTGAAGTGTTTTTTAGCAGGTTTGTTACTCTCATGCAAAAAGGGGACAGCAGATTTTTAAGACTTCAATTTTTGGTCTGGTATAATCTCAAAAAGCATGATATTGTAAATAGCTGTAAAAACTGACAATACTGGTAACTCATAAATGAACTTAAGAATCATATCATTGTGTGAAGATTTATTTTCACCCTAAGGCATTCCTTGCTAACCTGTTACCAAGTTTGCAGTTCTTGGCTGACTGGGAAATCATATTACTGTTAAAGATTATCTTTTTTTTTTTTTTTTCCAGTCTTAAAATGCTGTTTGAACTATACCGGTACAGAAAACATTTTTATCAGCTTTACTGTTGATTTAATACTTAGTACACCCAGGGTTTTTTTTTAAATATCATTGTGTGAAGATTTATTTTCACCCTAAGGCATTCCTTGCTAACCTGTTACCAAGTTTGCAGTTCTTGGCTGACTGGGAAATCATATTACTGTTAAAGATTATCTTTTTTTTTTTTTTTCCAGTCTTAAAATGCTGTTTGAACTATACCGGTACAGAAAACATTTTTATCAGCTGTACTGTTGATTTAATACTTAGTACACCCAGGGTTTTTTTTTACACAACTGCCCAAAGTATTGGGTTATATTCCCTGTAGTCTTTGGTTATATAGGGCATCAGTTACTGCAAAAAGCTTGGTTTCTTCGGTAGAGAATTATATATATTATAACTAAATCATACATTCATGTATTATCCAAGGAATTGCTCAATAACTTATTTGAAATAATAAACTAGTTTTTAATATGCTATGTCTTACCTCTAACTTGAGACATGTATCCTTTAAAAAGAGTTAAAGATCATTATTTTAAATTAAGGTTGTGAGTATTCTGCATAGAAAACTAAAATTGTTAAAATGTCTCATTTTTACATAACTAAACAGTATTGCCATGATTGATTTTCAGAAGAAGAGTTTTATTTTGTGAAATTCCTTGATTAAATCTTGAACCTAATTGTATTTGGTTGTATTTATAAATATCAGATCAGTATTTTATAATATTTTTTTTCAGTGCTGCACCCCTTTTGATTCAAAGCATTTCCCACACCCCCATCTCAATTTCAAAATATTTCCTGCAGCCCCCCACAAATGAAAAATTTTAATGAAAAAGCAAATAACCTGATTATTCTGGGTCATCCTGCACCCCCAGGGACTGCGGGAACCCCTGAATAAATATTAAAGGGTAACCAATTCTGATAAGATCATTTTAATCAAATCTTTCAACTGCAACTAGTATTTTTGAGTATCAAGTGTAAAATTTAAATCACTTGTTAAAAGTGGTATTTTAAGTTAAAATTTCTAGAGAAAACATTACGAGGCCTAATAATATATATTTGTGGTAACTTATGTTAGGATATGGTAACTAGTGGTCAAAGCCTATTGGGATACATCAATGAAAATGTATAGCCTTGCAATAATCTTATGAAATTGAGACTTTTATAGACATGTGGACCAATTGCCTTTATTGTTTTATTATCAATAAGTTTTCAACAAAATATTTTTAAAATGTTTAACTTAAGTTGGCTGTGCCTTGATCAATTTAAGCTGTTTGCATCCTGACCATGAATGTAATTCTGGGCATTACACGATATATCTGTCGGGCTCCCCGTCAGTTTGATGGCCAGATGTGCCATTGAAATGATTCAATGGATGCTTATTTTTTTTATTCTTTTAGTGGTCCAAAGATTTTTAATGAAATTGGCCAGCTTCTTTTGTTAGCTTGTCTTTAATGTCTAGAATGAAAGTGTTTCTCAACCTACACCTGCAATATCATAATTGTAATATGTGTCAACGATTAATGCAGATATAGCAATTTTTTTTAAACTCTCACCTATTTTCCCAGCTATAATTGTATAGCTTAGTTCGTTCAATTTGTGAGGCTATTTAATTCTGGTCTGATCTGAATTAAAGAGCACAGTTGGCAAAGGTTTATTGTCCAAAAGGCTTGAGAACCACTGTTGTTACAAAGTATGATTAAGGAAGCTCCATTCATTTAATATTAATTCTTTCCTAACTAAACTTGAAGATAATATATTGCATGTCAGTTACTAAAAAAATATGAAATACCTCATTTTTGGATGGCTACCATTCGTAATATTGTGTTAATAGTAGTTTATGTTTATTTTTCAATCTGTAATTAATTTTAGTCATAGTGAGTATTACGTTTTCATATCCTGACACTTTATTTATTGTTTAATTTTTGTTGTCTAATGAGTATATTATTATGTTTTTAAAAAAAATAATTTTTCTCCTTTAAAGAATTTTTTTGTTCTCCTTTAGTATCAAGTGAAGTGAATTCAACGCTGTTTTTAAAAGTATCGGAGATGTGGCTTTTCTTTTAATCATCGGTTAAACTAAATTCTTGTGTCGTACATATTTGTTTACTATTTGTTGATTAGTATCACTCAATTGTTGATGAATGTTTTTGGCTTTGGACTGGTCCCATTTGTATAATGTTATAGCCCTACTTCTTTAGGCATTACATTAATTAATTTCAATCAAAAGCTGGGACCGATCCTGTATTCACTTGAAGTCCCAGATTAAATACCAGCTTTGGTTATGAGATGACTTTATGTAGGGTGACAGTATGTGTTTGTTGGTGCCATTGTCCATTTGATTTTAAGAGAAAGTATTCCTATTCAATTTGTGCGGCAATCCAGTGGAATTCTACCTAAACACCTTATTGCATCTCATTCAGGTTTGATAGAATAATGTAAACAATTCTTTCTTAGATTTACTGTTTGTTACAAAAAGATAGGTACGAAGACAACTTTGCTGGACTCTTTCAAATTTTTGTCTAGTCCTTATTACGTCATACAGTTTTTCAAGATACTTTTGCTGTTGAGATCTGCACAAGGAATGTAGAATAGAATAGAATAAAAATATATCAAATAAAACCCTGAGATTAGACTCTTGGAAACACATTAGAAATGAACCTATCGAATGCTATTTTTAGATGCTGGTAGGCTTCAATGTAATACAGGGTTTCACAAGGTTTTGGTGTCCTCTAGATTTAAAACATCTAGTCTTATTTAATGCAAAGTGGAGCACAGTAGGTGTCTGTATAGGTTATGATTCTGAATTTATTGAAATCACAAACCTGTCTTCAATTTTATTTAATTACATTACAAATAGTTAAATTTTTATATGAGCTCTAAGCTTTTATAAGTTATGGTGTTGGGGGTAGAATATTTGCCTGCCTCATGAATGACCTGTGTTTGATTTCCTCTTTGAGCCTAATCTCCTTTGACTGTGAGAGATTTCTAGTTGTATTTCATACTTAACAGCAGTGATGTAAGGTGAGCGTGACATCATTCAATTGAATGGAACAAAACCAAACAAACATCAATCCAAAATAAATGGGATCGTAAGAAAATAATTGTATTTCAGTCATTTCTAGTAGAATAATATAGGCATCACATGTGCATGTCATATTAATGAAAATGTATTTATACAAACAAAATATTTCAATACACATTTACAAGAATTATGTACGTAACTTTTCATGTTCAAGTTCTGAAACTTTGATCAACACCAGTGTCCACTGGCTGGTAGGTTGATCTGAACTGTCTGGTAGGTTGCGTCTTGTTTGTGTTCAGACCACATGTGTTTTCACTAACTTTATTTGCATGCTTTTATTGGATTGAACTTTATCAATATTTACTTGAATGTAACAGGGTCCAAAATGCTAGCTCCCTGATGTGTAAACATGAGTACAAGTTGATCTGCTGATGTGTATGCAAAACTGCAGGCTGAGGTGTTGTCAGAATCTCTTACTGTGCCTGACAAGACTTTTAGTTTGAAATAAGAAGACAGTCGGTTGGATTTCTTCCTTTCTTAAACCAGGGACATGGTACTGGGGAGGAGCATGTCCTCTGTTTTTTAAACAGCTGATTAACTCTTGTCTTCTAAATGAGTCTTCATTTTCATTTTAACTCTGCAATTTTATTACTGAATTGAGCCACTCATCAGCCTTGATCATGTAAATAGGTCTCATACATATTTTGTGTATATATTTCATTTGGCTTATATTTATATGAAATGAATGACTTTTGTGCTGTACCACCAACACCCCCACACCAGAGAGTTTTGTTTTGTAAACCAATATATGTGAGAAGCCTTGCTTCATTTCATGATATGTATCTTGACGAAGTGAGCCAGTTTTTTTTTAAAGAAATAAATCTGAATGAAAATATGTGAGTTAATAAAATGTCAGCTAAACATCAGGGAATTAGTGTTTGTTTTTGTTGAGTTCCTGGGACAGCTGCATGAAGATTACATATGCTGTGTTGTGAACAGAGCTGGAAACTTTCCTGTGCCTGATGACACTGTTTGTGGATGACCCTTTCTAAATGATTTACATTAAAGATGCCCAGTACCCAAATAGCCAAAGATTAAGTCGCATTAAGATTTCCAAGACCAGAAAGCAATATGGAATGCATCCTAAAATTTTATTGGTTTTGATAGAAAGTGCCAAGTAATGTGTGGGAGTAATATTCATAGGTAATATTGGGTCCTAAATAAAATATCATAGTGCAAGTTTCTTCAATAAATAAGTAAATGATAAGCATTTGGGACATTAAAAGGGAGATTACATTCAAGAACTGTCTGTATTCCATCTCTAATGTCTTCATCGCCTGTCCTGAAAATATAGTTCTCATGTCCTTTCTTGTAACATATTTTATTTCTCATGTCCTGTAACCTATATGTCATGTCATTTACTGTAACATTTCTTGTGTCATGTAGCATACTCCCTTCACCAGATCTTTTTGTACACACAGATACACAGTAAAATCAGAGGCATTAAAAATGTGGTAATTGAAGATGGCGTCTAAGATTATCTTATGAGGTTTACTCTTCCCACTCCATCTCCTCAGAAGCAAAAATCTGCAAATAACACGACATCCATTACTCTCTCAGGTGTGCGTATTGAGTTAGCTCAAACAGTGCGGTACCTGGGTATCTACCTAGATAGAAGACTAACTTTTGAAAGTCATATTAACATGCTATGCAAGGCGATTTTTCTGGAGCTGCGCAGGATTAGTCACATCAGGCCCTTCCTAACAATTGATGCAACAAAGAGGCTGATGTCTGCATTTGTGCTATCACGCATGGACTATTGCAATGCTCTCATGGTGGGTCTTCCAGCTACGCTCCTGGATAAAATTCAAATAGAATCACGCATGGACTATTGCAATGCTCTCATGGTGGGTCTTCCAGCTACGCTCCTGGATAAAATTCAAATAGCACAGAATAATGCGGCTCGCATAGTTCTCCGCAAACGCAAATTCGACCATGCAAAAACACTTCTGAGAGAGTTGCATTGGCTGCCGGTGCGTGCTCGCATAGAGTACAAAATCGCAACTTTGTGCTACCGCTGCTTACATGACCTGGTGCCGTCCTATCTGAAAGAGCTGCTGACGCCTTATGTACCCAGTAGAGAGCTCCGCTCATCCGATAGTGGCAAACTCTCGACACCACGTGTTTGCCTTGAGACTTACGGAAAGCGCACTTTCGCATTTGCTGGTCCAACAATTTGGAACGCCCTTCCTGTCGATCTCAGAAACAACCAGACACTGGAGTCCTTTAAAACCGATTTAAAGACACATCTATTTCGCAAACACCTTTTGGGATGATTGTCAACCTTATTTTCCAGTTAATGCATGATGGCTGTGTTGCTTGGGGTTGAAATGGCTAGAAAGACTTTGCCATTGTATGCTAGTAATTAGTTTTTGTAGTGTTGCGTTTGTTTTAAATGTGGTAAATTGTAGATTTGTATTTTGTTGACTTTGTACCGCGCTTCGAGCCTTTGGGGATGAAGCGTGTTTTTGAAATGAACTTTATTATTATTATGTATGGGGTGTTTAGAAGTGCTTACCTCCCTTCTCTATGCACAGTCGTGTATAGATGTGCTTACCTCCCTTCTTTATGCCCAGTCGTGTTTAGATGTGCTTACCTCCCTTCTCTATGGCCAGTCGTGTTTAGGTGTGCTTACCTCCCTTCTCTATGCCCCGTCGTGTTTAGATGTACTTACCTCCCTTCTCTATGCCCCGTCGTGTTTAGATGTACTTACCTCCCTTCTCTATGCCCCGTCGTGTTTAGATGTACTTACCTAACTTCTTTATGCCCAGTCGTGTTTAGATGTACTTACCTAACTTCTTTATGCCCAGTCGTGTTTAGATGTACTTACCTCCCTTCTCTATGCCCCGTCGTGTTTAGATGTACTTACCTAACTTCTTTATGCCCAGTCGTGTTTAGATGTACTTACCTAACTTCTTTATGCCCAGTCGTGTTTAGATGTACTTACCTCCCTTCTCTATGCCCCGTCGTGTTTAGATGTACTTACCTAACTTCTTTATGCCCAGTCGTGTTTAGATGTACTTACCTAACTTCTTTATGCCCAGTCGTGTTTAGATGTACTTACCTCCCTTCTCTATGCCCCGTCGTGTTTAGGTGTGCTTACCTCCCTTCTCTATGCCCCGTCGTGTTTAGATGTACTTACCTCCCTTCTCTATGCCCCGTCGTGTTTAGGTGTGCTTACCTCCCTTCTCTATGCCCCGTCGTGTTTAGATGTGCTTACCTCCCTTCTCTATGCCCCGTCGTGTTTAGATGTACTTACCTCCCTTCTCTATGGCCAGTCGTGTTTAGGTGTGCTTACCTCCCTTCTCCATGCCCCGTCGTGTTTAGGTGTGCTTACCTCCCTTCTCTATGCCCCGTCGTGTTTAGGTGTGCTTACCTCCCTTCTCTATGCCCCGTCGTGTTTAGGTGTGCTTACCTCCCTTCTCTATGCCCCGTCGTGTTTAGATGTGCTTACCTCCCTTCTCTATGGCCCGTCGTGTTTAGATGTGCTTACCTCCCTTCTCTATGCCCCGTCGTGTTTAGATGTACTTACCTCCCTTCTCTATGCCCAGTCGTGTTTAGATGTACTTACCTCCCTTCTCTATGGCCAGTCGTGTTTAGATGTGCTTACCTCCCTTCTCTATGCCCCGTCGTGTTTAGATGTACTTACCTCCCTTCTCTATGCCCCGTCGTGTTTAGATGTACTTACCTAACTTCTCCTGTGAATAGTCGTGATACATGATAATATGGGCCAGCTTTTTTTTTCTCTTTATCATAACTTTAATTTACACAAGTTTATAACGTGTACTTTCCATTAGTAAGTGATACCATTAGGTTGTCTCCCTGTCCTGGCTAATGGTATGGGTCGAGACTCAAAGAACCAGGGGAAATGGAGACGCGTAAAATTAAAGCAAGCTATCGATCGTTACGAACGATATGATAATATGTGGAGGCCCACATCTTGAAAGGTTTTTATAATGACGCTAACAATTGTTATATTACTAGATCTAAGCTTTACTCATGTGTGGTGCTTGGAAAGCTGTGTTTCTTCCTCGGTTAAAGTTGAAACAAAAGTGTTTTTTTTTTTTTATCTATAGATTTTTCTCCTATCTAGATTTTGTTCCTATTCCGTTACAATCCCTTTTCTACTATTTTATCTTGCACAGTGGAATAAATTATATAAGCAGAGATGACTCGGGTGTAGCCAGGTTTTTAAATCGAGAGAAATAAGAGTTTTATTAGTGTGCCTTAGAAATGATCATCAGTCATCTTTGAAACGTCATTGCTCCATGTGATTTGTGGAGCAAACAAGTTTAGTTTGACGTCAATACTTCATGAGATTTGGAAAGAAAACAAGTTAAGTATGACATCATCATTACTCCATGTGATTTAGGGAGCAAACAAGATTAGTGTGACGTCATTACCCCATGTGACTATGAAAGCAAACAAGATTAGTATGACGTTTTTACCCCATGTGATTAGGAAAGCAAAAAAGTTTAGTATGACGTTATTACCCCATGTGATTAGGAAAGCAAACAAGTTTAGTATGACGTCATTACCCCATGTGACTATGAAAGCAAACAAGATTAGTGTGACGTCATTACCCCATGTGACTATGAAAGCAAACAAGATTAGTGTGACGTCATTACCCATGTGATTTAGAAAGCAAACACGTTTAGTATGCCGTCAATACCCCATGTGATTTAGAAAGTAAACAAGTTTAGTATGCCGTCAATACCCCATGTGATTTAGAAAGCAAACAAGTTTAGTATGCCGTCAATACCCCATGTGATTTAGAAAGCAAACAAGTTTAGTATGACGTCATTACCCCATGTGATTTAGAAAGCAAACAAGATTAGTGTGACGTCATTACCACATGTGACTATGAAAGCAAACAAGATTAGTATGACGTTTTTACCCCATGTGATTAGGAAAGCAAACAAGTTTAGTTTGACGTCATTACCCCATGTGATTAGGAAAGCAAACAAGTTTAGTATGACGTCATTACCCCATGTGATTTAGAAAGCAAACAAGTTTAGTATGACGTCATTACCCCCATGTGATTTAGAAAGCAAACAAGCTTAGTATGACGTCATTACCCATGTGATTTAGAAAGCAAACAAGTTTAGTATGAAGCCGTTTTCAAACATGTTAATATTCATCTCAGTTTTATTTCCTAATAAGTATGTGCCTAACGAAGAGAACATTGAATGGAAAAACTAAAAATCGTCAAAATAATAATAATACAGTTTATTTAAAAGCCACGCTTCATCCCCAAAGGCTCGAAGAGTGCTACAAAGTCAAAAAAAAAAAAACCCAACAAATAATTGTAGAAAGAGAATGACGTGACACTCACAAGAACATTTTAGCTAAACATGGTGAAGAATATATCATTCTTAGTTTCCCAAACACCCAAATACTTTGATACAAAATTCCCAACGTTCGAATACTTAGATTCGAGATTCATAAAATATTAATACTTAGATTCCGAACATCTGAATGGTGATTCAATGTCATGAATCAAGCGTTTAGCTTTCGAGATTGCAAGTGATTGAAGCCCACTGGTCTGATCTAATTTACAAATGTAATAATTCTATGTGTTGCCAATGTTACCATTTTGATCAAGGGTTAATCATAATAAAAAAAAAGAATTCAAAACTAGAATACTTTCCATTAATTATTAACACAACCCTTATTTAGAATTCAGCTATTTCAAAGGAGATAGAAAATGTATGCAAATAAGGGGCCGTCATGTGCTCATGTGCTCAGATGGGCTGTTCAATATAAATTGTTTATTAAAACTGTCAACAGATGGACGAAGATCGTTGTGCGATGCGTTCTTAGCTGTTGAAAGGGAAGTTGCAAGTTCATGTACTCAATTTTCGTTAC